CACTCAGCTCAACCCTGCCTTCATTGATTCTGACCCCGCCTCTCTCCCTGGTTTCCGAGGCTCGCCAATCTCTGGCCCCACCTCCGGCTGGTCTGGGCCCCCTGAAGCCTTGTCCCTCTTTTGTCAACCCATGACCCTCCCACGTTCTACCCAGCGGGTCCCTCCTCCCTCTGGACCCACCCAGACCCGGTCCGACGCCCCCAGGGCTCCTGGGCTACGCCCCCTCATGCCCCATACAGCTTTAGACCCGCTCCAGTGTGTAAACCCGGCCTAGGGATCCCCTGAGCGAAGTCCCTGAACCGGGGCCTGGTGGGTACAGTTTCCGAGCTGAGTCCCTGTCCGCAGGTGCTGCTACGTTCCAGCCAGCCCCTGACCGGGCCCCAGAAGCGGCGTTGCGCTGAGGACGAGGAGCTGCTGCGAGCTGTGCTGGCGGAGGCTGGCCCGGGGTCCCGGGGCTTCATCGTGGACACGCGCTCGGCCCAGGCCGCCAAACAGGCCCGCATGACTGGCGGCGGCACCGAGGCCAAGGCCGCCTACCCGGGCTGGAAACGGCTGCACCGGTCCCTGGAGAGGTAAGGGGTCTTCCCATCCTCTCCTAGGTTTTTTCGTGCAGGACTCTTCATGGATGGGGGCAGGGGGAGGGCTGTCTTCTAGGAACTTCCAGGACTGTTAGGTCTTTCCTGGTAGCCATCCTGCCAGGTGGGCATGCCCCCACTGACAGAGCTCATTCCTCTCTAGGCACCCCAACTCTGCCTGGGTAGAAAAAGCACTTCTTTACATTGAACTGAAATTTCTCTTCCAGGAACAACCTCACCACACACAGACACATAGACACACACACACACACACACACACACACACACACACACACTGCACTGGTCCCAGCCCTGCCCTTGAGGGCTGTACCCGCACAGTTGTTATCTGCTCCCTCTGTCTCCAGGTGCTGGTAGAACCAAGAGAAGGTCCTGAGGGACTCTTGTGCTTTGTGGACTGCTCCCCTATCCAGAATATAAAACTCTGTTTATTCATTGATTTGGCCAACAATGACCCAGCACAGAGGCTGAGATGGTGGCCAGCCCAGACATGGTTGGAAGATCAGCAGTAAATGGGCAATTAGAATTCAGTATGAAAAGTAGCAGCACAGAAGAGGCACCCCTCTGTTAGAATAGGTCATCCTAAGAAAGCTTTCCTGAGAACAGGTGAAGGCACGGCAGGGGTGCAGGAGCAGGGAGCCTAGTCATTTGTTCTGTTTTGGAACTGCAAGCACTTCAGTGAGGTGGGAGTGAGGAGTGTGAGGTGGAGGCAGGGGAAGAGAGATGGAGGTAGAGAGGCTAAAGGGGTGACAGGGGCCAGAGCAAAGGTCTTGAATGCCATGATTATGAGATCAGAGCTTATCCTAAAGGCAGTGGGGAGCCACTGAAGGCTTTTAAACAAGCCTTAAAAAGTCTCAATTAGATTTTCTGGCAGGAGGTTACTGGTGATCTAGAGCAGAACAGTTCCTGGGAAGTAGGAGCAGATACCAGAATCTCAGGAGTATCGTGTTTCTCTTGTCAGACTGGTTCTCCCCAGGGGTTACTGTGTTGCTCCCATCAGACTAGGGAACATCAAGGGTACTGTGACACCTTCATCAAATTGGGGTTTCCCAGGGCATTCTGTTTCTCTAGGGGGCTATGTGACCCCTTCCCAGGCATTGCTATGCTTCCCCAACAGACTAGGTCTTCCCAAAGGGTCTTGGGTCTCCTCAAGTTTGGGGAAACATTTCCATCAGATTAGGTGGGCTCTCCAAAGGGCCCTGTGTCCCTCTTGTCAGATGGGCTCCTCTGAGGGCTCTATGTCTCCCTCACTGGTCTGGAGCATTTGTTCCTAGGCTATGCTCACCAGAGCTTGGGCTGGAGAAGGGATGACCAGACTCCCACTTGTGCAGGGGGCGGCCCCTACAGGAGAGCTTCGTGCGCCTGATGGAAGCCTGTGGGGACCCGGAGCAGAGCATGGACCGCTGGCTTAGTCGACTAGATGGCTGCCGCTGGCTGTCACATGTGAAGGAGGCACTAAGCACAGCCTGCCTAGCAGCCCAGGGCATGGAGTGGTAAGGCCCGCCCCCACCCTACAAGAAAGAGAAGAGGGCAGGGTGGGCAGGGCTCTCAAAGTCTGGGCACAAAACCACATCTCAATAAGCAAATACAGGTTTCAAATGGGCCCTTTCTATTCCTGGCCTGGCTACCACAGGCAGGGAAGGACAGGCCACTGTTGATAAGCCCTGGGCCCACAGGGAAGGGGCCTGCATCCTGGTGCATGGGGCCAAAGGCACGGACAGCACCCTGCTAGTGACTTCACTGGCCCAACTCATCCTAGACCCCTTGAGCCGAACCATGGCTGGATTCCAGGAACTGATAGAGCGAGAGTGGATCCAGGTAAGTGGTCGCCCAGCCCAGCCCTAGCCCTCCATCCAGAATCTCCACTTCCTTGTGCCCATCGCTCTGCCCCCTCCCCAGGCCGGCCACCCCTTCCAGCTGCGCTGTGCTCACTCGGCCTTCTCCCACACCTGCCCCAAGCACGAGGCACCCATCTTTCTCCTATTCCTGGACTGTGTGTGGCAGCTGGGCCGCCAGTTCCCGCTGTCGCTGGAGTTTGGGGAGGGGATGCTGTTGGCGCTGTTTGATCACTCCTATGCCTCCCCTTTCGGCACCTTCCTCTGCAACAGTGAAAAGGAGAGGTGAGCTAAGGGGGTGTCAAGGTGGGTCAGAGGGCAGGCACAGGACAGGGGTGGGTACCTGCTGCATTGGCAGCCTACTTTCTTAGAAGACATCTTCGGGAATTTGCTGGTGGACCGTGGTTAGGACTTGGCGCTTTCACTGCTGGGGCCCGGTTCGATCACTGGTTGGGGAACTAAGATCCCGCAAGCTGCAAGGCGCGGCCAAAAAAAAAAGACATCTTTCCCTTTCAAACGAGTTTCTCTCTTAGAAAAACTCGGAGTGTCCTCTCCTCTCCTACCTCCAGAGCTCACACTTTCCCCTAACTTCTGCAAAGCTAGAAATAAATGGGTCCATGGCCAATCCTTCAGACCTACCCCCGACTCTGTCCATAGCCAAGAACAAGTGCACTCCTAGCTTAAAAACAAAGACTGAAGGAGAAAGTTGCTGCCAAAGTCATTTCTGGGGCTCTCTACCACTTTGCAGGGTTGATTCTAGTGAAGCAATAGAGGTTGAATGCTGAGTCAAATTGTTTGGGCTCAAATTCTGGCTTCACCACTCACCTGCTGGGCGATCAAAAGCAACCCTGAATCTGTTTCAGCAGCAGCAAGCAAAGAATCATAATAGTCACAATAGCCTAGAGGTGGGGTGAGGGCATGTGTGAGGATTAGCTGAGTTAAAGTATGGAAAGTGCTTAGCACAGTGCCTGGCACACAGTGGGCACACGAGTGGTAGTTATTTTTATTATTTGGTTGGCTTGTTGCATATGCCACCAATGAGCTCCCATTAGCCATCTTTCTCTCATCAGACTGAGATGAGGGGAGGGAGGGTTCACTCCTAAGGTAGAGCTCATATTTAGTTATCTTTTGTTGCCCAGTGGCCTCCTCTCCACCATGTTGTTTTTACTAACTCTGCTTATCATCCAGGTTAGAAACTTATTTTTACCTCCCTCTCCCCCATCCTTCATATTTAGCTTTTCTTCTAAGAATTTATTTTTTTAAAATATTTATTTGGTTGCGCCAGGTCTTAGTTGCGGCTTGCCAGCTCCTTAGTTGTGGCATGCGAACTCTTAGTTATGGCATGTATGTGGGATCTAGTTCCCTGACCAGGTATCGAACCTGGGCCCCTTGCATTGAGAGCACGGAGTCCTAACCATTGCGCCACCAGGGAAGTCCCTCTACTAAGAATTTCTTAGCTTAGTCCTTTCCTGTCCAAGGCCCCTCCTACTACCCTAATCCAGACTTTCCTTTCCACATGGACCACTGGAACAGCTTCCTCACTGCTCTTATTATCTCCACTTTCATCCTTTTTTTTTTTAATTCATCAGTCTAGACCTATCAATATTCACCTTGGGCCCTTTCCCACCTTCTTGCTTTTACTCCTGTAGTTCCCCCTAAGTATTTCCATGTTTTTGCACACCTGGTGAACTGTTGCTGCTAGACCCAGCTCAAATGGCACACTCTTAATTAGCCGTCCCTGATCCTTTCAAAGCAAAGCTAAGCAGAACTCCTTAAGAACGAGGATTTTGTCTTGTTCCTGCTTTATTGTAGTGCCCAGTTCAGGATCTGACTGGCAGTAACATCTGCAGGAGAGGGTATCACTGCCCTGGGGGAGCTGTCACCCTACTAACCAGCGCCCTCACCCGGAGTCCCAGAGGGCATAGCTGAGTCTGGAAGCTCACTCTCACCCCCTCCAGATGCCTGTGTGAAGTGAGAACTCGAACACACTCCTTGTGGTCTGGGCTCAGTCAGCCAAAAGAGCAACGAAAACTCCGGAACCCGCTCTACGTCCCCAATCCCTTGGCCATCTGGCCCTCTGTGGAGCCCCAGAGCCTGCGACTGTGGCAAGGTGACCCCCTCTCCCTCCTCCTCCCTGGGGGAGTTCTCCCCTCTGCTCAGCTTCCTTACCTGTCCTCCTCCTCTTCCTCAGGCCTGTTTCTGCGCTGGGCTCATCCACCTGAGCCTTCAGAGGTAGCATGGGAGAAGGTGTGGCAAATAGCAACAGATCAGAAGACAGAAGGCTCTCAGCCAACAGGTTCAGCCTCTGAGCCCCAACCCTAAGTACTGGTCCTTGGATGGTGGTTGAGATGTTCCTGAAACTTCTTCAGGCCCCTCAGCACCTTTGGACCTTGAATGATGGTGCCTGCAACCCAGCCTAGCGCATAATACTGAAGTTCCAGGTCTGAAGTGTCCAAAGTGTAGGGAGAAGGTCCAAATAATAAAGGTATCCATGATTGGTATGAGCTTGCTGGGGTGTCACTGAGACGGGAAAGTGATGAAACTGACGAAATTTCTGACCAGAAACCATTTATTTCCAAACTAATTTATTTCTCAGAGTCCAAAGCCTTCTGTGAACCTGGCCCATATGGAGATCCGGCGTGTGTGTGTGTGTGTGGTGGTGGTGGTGGTGGTGGTGGTCGTGGTGGTATGCTGTGCTGTGCTGTGGTGTGTGTGTGCAGTGGAAGCTCGGAGTCCTAATCACTGGATAGCCAGGGAATTCCCAGAGATCCGGCTTCTTAAGCCTCAAACTCAAATTCAAAGTACTGTGGGTCGAAGTAGTGGATGCGGACATAACCATCTTCTCCGCCGCTGCTGTAGCTGGAAAGAGACAGGCAGGGCCCGGTCAGAGGCCTGCCCTGGGGGAGGCAGGCCTAGGGGGCAGGGCATGGGAAAGGGGCAGAGGCGGGCAGACCAGGGCTGAGCTCAGCTCCCTTCACTGGGCCCTACCTCTTGCCATCAGGATGGAAGGCAACACTGTTGATAGGTCCAAAGTGACCCTTGATTCTTCCAAACTCTTCTTCAAAGGCCAAGTGGAAGAACCTGGAGGAGAGAGCGGGGTGGGAAGTGACAGTTCATTCATTTTCCATCTCCTTCCAAAACATGTTGAGAGGTACCATTCCCCAAACACAAACTGTAAAGTGGGGAAACTGGCAAAAGGGGAAATGAATGTGAACAGAACAAGACAAAGTTGGGGGAAGATTGGACCCACACGTCTTCCTTACTATGTGCTGGGCAGTGCTCTAAGAGCTTAACAACTATTAAGTCATTTATTTTTATTTATTTATTTTTTTTGCGGTACGCGGGCCTCTCACTGTCGTGGCCTCTCCCACTGCGGAGCACAGGCTCCGGATGCACAGTCTCAGCAGCACTCCGCGCGGCATGTGGAATCTTCCCAGACTGGGGCACGAACCCGTGTCCCCTGCATCAGCAGGCGGACTCTCAACCACTGCGCCACCAGGGAAGCCCAAGTCATTTATTTAATCTGCAGAGTTTTATGAGGTAAGTATATTATCGTTGTCTTCCTTATACAGTCAAGGGTAATTGGGCACAGAGAACTACAGTGATGTGTAGAGCTTCAGAGCGAGCCCAAGAGTTCATGCTCTTAACTGCTATATTATACACTTGTCACAGGAGGGCCACAAATCTGGCTGCACTTCCTAGCAGCCAATGAATTAAGGGAAGTCTCTTTAGTTATATGGTTTGTGTCCATCATGAAGTTTCAGTTTGGAAGAGCTCCTTCCCCCTTTACCTGGCCTCGAACTTGCCAATCCTGGTAGAAGTGGTGGTTACATCCATTGCTTCCTGACCACCGCCCAGCACCACCTGAAGGGAAGAAGAAACTCTAGACAGGCCCAAAGGGCAGGCAAATCCATTTTCTGTTTTTTCCCCCTACCCCATAAACCTTTAATTATCTCCCACATCAGATTAGGAATATATTAAGGGTAAGGAACAAACATCCTTCAGCCACCTCCTACCCTGTCCCCTGGGGCTTCCCAATCATTCAGCCTTGTTGCTGCTCTGAGAATCTCCTCTCTGCCTGACACCATTTTCCCCCAGAGATCTTTTCTTAATTGCTAGACAAACAACTAGATCCTGGAAACATTCTGAGGCTTTAGCAAGAAGCTCAGGTGGGGTCCCTTACATGGTCATAGTTGGGAGAGAGGGCAGCTGAGTTGACGGGACGTTCTGTCCGGAAAGTCTTCTGGTGTTCAAGGGTTGTGGAGTCAAAGAGCTAGAGAAGGCAGGGGAGAAATCTGTAAAAGGAGCCTTCTTGGGGGGAAGTCGAGAACCAGGCTGAAGGGTGGGATCAGCCCCACTAGACCCCTTGCCCGGGCTCACCTTGGCTGTGTTGTCCTTGGATGCAGTGACAAACATGGTCATGTCCCTGGATAACTGGATGTCATTGATCTGCCGGGAGTGCTCCTTAATAGTCACCAATACCTCCCCAGACTGCAAAAGAAAGAAGAGTGAGGCTCTGACCAACCTGATCCTCACTACCCCACTGCTCAGCCAGGGTTCTGGACTGTTTCTTGTTCCATGAAGGGGAGGGGTCTGGGTTGGGGCTGCCTCAGTGTCCCCTGAATCAACATTTACTCCCACTCCCAAGCCCAACCTGGCCCAAGTGTGCAGGTTTTGTAAACACTGCTAGTTTACCTAGGAAAACACACACTTATGATGACACATCTACAGACCTATTAATTAATCACCATGTAACAGTAGAGAAGTTTCCGTTTAATCCTTCCAACAAATATTTATTGAATGGTTACTATTTGCCAAGCATTGTGCTAAGCACTTAGCAACACCTATTTCCTTTAATCCTCACAACAATCCTATGAAGTAGGTATTTGAACAGAAATTTTAAAAGGAATAAACTAAGGTTCAGAGAGGTGATGTGACTGGAGATCCTAAAACCAGTAAGAGGCAGAATCCACTCGCATCTCCTTTCCTCGTAGGGTCTTGGTCACAGTTCACGAGGACCACTGCTCGTCCATCCTTTTCTTAGGTCTTTTCAAAAGGCCGTCTCATCTCCCGATTTCCCTTCCCACTAAAAGAACCTGCTAGACTATGTAGTACAGAGTTTTAGAGTCTGCCCTTAAAAGTACTTCTCTGGGCTTCCCTGGTGGCGCAGTGGTTGAGAGTCCACCTGTCGATACAGGGGACACGGGTTCGTGCCCCGGTCTGGGAAGATCCCACATGCCGCGGAGCGGCTGGGCCTGTGAGCCATGGCCGCTGAGCCTGCGCATCCGGAGCCTGTGCTCCTGGGCTCCGCAACGGGAGAGGCCACAACAGTGAGAGGCCCGCATACCGCAAAAAAAAAAAAAAAGAGAAAGAAAAAGTACTTCTCTGTAGGAGTCCCCTGGCGGTCCAGTGGTTAGGATTCTGCGCTTTCACTGCCAAGGGCCCGGGTTCAATCCCTGGGCAGGGAACTAAGATCCTGCAAGCCAAGCAGCGTGGCCAAAAACAAACAAACAAAACTTCTCTGTGCCTCAATTTCTCTATCTAGAAAACAAGATTATTAAAAGCCCTGAGGGCGAACTTCCCTGGTGGCCCAGTGGTTAAGAATCTGCCTGCTGCCGATGCAGGGGACACGGTTCGAGCCCTAGTCCAGGAAGATCCCACATGCCTTGGAACAACTAAGCTTGTGCGCCACAACTACTGAGCCTGCGCTCTAGAGCCCGCGAGCCACAACTAATGAGCCCACGTGCCATAACTACTGAAGCCCAAGCGCCTAGAGCCCGTGCTCCACAACAAAGAAAAGCCACCACAATGAGAAGCCCATGCTCTACAACAAAGAAAAGCCACTGCAATGAGAAGCCCATGCACCACAACGAAGAGTAGCCCCTGCTCTCCACAGGTAGAGAAAGCCCATGCGCAGCAACGAAGACCCGACGCAGCCAAAAATAAATAAATAAAATTAATTTAAAAAAAAAAAAAAAAAGCCCCCAGTGATAATTCCCGGGCAGTCCAGTGGTTAGGACTCAGCCTCTCACTGGCATTCTCACTGCCGATCCCTGGTCCAGGAACTAAGATCCCACAAGCTGCATGGCGTGGCCAAAAAAAAAAAAAAAAAAGCCCTCCAGGTCACTGTAAGGATACTGGGACTGGGCCTTACCTGACTTTGAATGACAGGCACCTGGCCTGTGCTCTGTAAACATTTGTTAGATGATTAAAAGGCCTCAAGCACTAGGCCTCAAACAGAGACCCTCAGAAGACTGTCATTTCCTTTCCTGAGTTACTTTCACCTCTTCTGAGGGAAGAATGTATTTCTGTGTCCTCCATTAATTTGGACACATGGTAGGGACGTATCTGGCTCTTACATTTCAGGGAACAAGTACCAGCTTTGCAGTCAGGCCTACCTGGGGGCACAGATCAGCTCACTGTTTGCTATCATCAAGCGTTATTTATGTCTTTGCCCTTGGTTCCCATTCCCTTCCTGCAGGTAGGCCTGGTACTTTAGTGGACCACAGTCAGTGCTTGTTGAGTGACTGACTAACCTTTATGGTATTATAGTCCAGTATTCTTCAGAAACCCAGGCACCCACATCTGAAATCCGAGACAGCCTGGACTTTATACCCTTTTCCTAACCTCCATCTCATCAGTCACCTCTGAACGTCTCCTGTCAGGTAGTCCACATCCCCATGACTACTGCCTAGTTTATGTCCATTCTCCAAACTAGCCTGCGAGAGTTTTCTAAAGAGAAAACCTGATCATCCATAACCATTTGAAGATTACCTCCTGCCTAAGGGAAAATTACAACTCCTTTGTCTCCTGACCCGCAAACTATCTAGTCCTGGTCCCTCTCTTCCGGCTTGAAGCTCCATTTATTCTTCACAGATTAATGTACATGCCACCTCCTCTGTGACAGAGGGCACTTCCTGTACTTGGCTGAGACCTCTGTGGCGGCAAAACTCACAATCTGACCCACGTGCTAGCTGTTTGCCAGTCTGTCTCCCCCGGGGCAGGGCCCATGTCTGATTCACTTCTTTGTCCTCAGAGGCTAGCATGGGGCCTGGCACTCAGCAGTGGCAGGAGAATGCTTAACTGTGATCATTAGTAACATATCCTGAGTACTCTATGACAAGTTTTTCAAACATCTGATGTCATCTGATCCTTGAAACATCTTACAGATAAATAGGCTCCATGAAGTTATGTAATATGCCCAAGATCACATAATGAGAAAGGGGTGAAATCTGTATGTGAATCCAGCCCTCTTAACCACTGGGCTTATCCTGCCTCTCACAGAGAATCATTCTGATGGGCTTAGGCCTCACCCACCCCCTTACCTTGGCGCTATACTGGTTGAGCTCTCCGCCCTCATGGCCTGCAATGATGCACTCGCCAAGGGGTCCCCAAACAGCACTGGTGATCTTGGAGTCATTGCATGGGATCTTCATGTAGGGCTCGTTGCTGTCTGTGTGGAGCAGCAGATGTCAGGCCCTGGGCTCTGGAGTCGAGCCCTTCACCTCAACTCTAGTCCTGAGCCCCAGCACCGGCTCACCAATCTGGCTCGGATCCCGCAGGTCGAAGAAGCTCACGAAGCACTGGTAGCCCATCTGCTTGTCCGTGGAGAACATGATGATGTTGCCCCCGAAGTCAAAGCCACAGGTCCGGACTGCTGAATTGGTCTTGAGTAGGGCCAGCTGCTTCCCTGGAGACAGGCAGAGTGTGGGCTAGCCCTTGCCCACTGCAGGAAGGACTCTCTCTACACTTGCCTATTGGGATTTCCCTCGTGGCACAGTGGATAAGGCTCCGCACTCCCAATGCAGGGGGCCGGGGTTCTATCCCTGGTCGGGGAACTAGATCCCACATGCATGCTACAACTAAGAGTTCGTATGCCACAACTAAGGAGCCCACGTCCTGCAACTAAGGAGCTGGTGCAACCAAATAAATAAATAAATATTTTTAAAAAGCAAAACAAACAAAAAAATACACTTGCCTATTGTCACGTTGCACTGTTTCTCCTGCACTACTGACTCTAGTGCCCTCCCCCACTTTTTTCCTCACTGCTGTGCTTTGGCTCAAGTCTTTTAACTTCTCCCCACAGTCCCTCCTCAGACACCTGCCACTGTGGCACTCACAGTGGACTGCATTCTATCTGTCTCTGCCTCAGAATGCACTCTTCCACAGCAAAGTCCTGCTCTAATTTCTCTGTGTGTCCCCAGTGCCCAGCAAAGACCTGGGAGAGATCTGGATTACCAGTAAACATTTACTAAATGGAGCAGCTTAGGAGGCTCCCCTGTCTTCTGACTGTTCCTCCAATGCTCCCCACTGCTATCTGGGCTTGCTAAAGCTAAACACGCTCTT